CAAGGAGAGGACTGCCTCGAGCTTGTTGCTGGCGGGCGTGAGCTTGGGGTGCGCGCGGTTTTCGACCAGCGCCTTGATATGCTCCTCGGACGGGAAGGTGCTCAGCTTGGCCCACTCCTCCCACTGCGGGCAGCCCTGCTCCATGAAAGTCACGAGGCCGTGAACGCTCGCCTGCCACTGGGCGTAGATCTTCTGCAAAGTCCCGTCGACGCCAGACTCGAGATCAACCAACTTAACCAGAGCGTCGAATCTGCTGAAGTTGACGTCGAGGTGGAGCTTGTCCGCATCCTGAGCCTGGAACAGAGCCTTGCACTCTTCCGCTTTGGTATCGTCATTGTGCATGCTGCGAATCGTCTTCAATAAACGCCGAGCTGGGCTGACAAGGAGGATCCACTCCGGCGTAATGAGCATCTGTTCCGCGGTCTGGCAAGAGTTCCAGCGGTGCGCCAGGCCCCGATGGCAGTGGGTCGCCTCGAAGCCAAGAGCAAAAAACTGCAGCTGGCGGTTGAGGCGCTTGTCGTTCAGCCCCTTTACATCGTCAAGGATCTGGACCATCTCCTTCTTGAGATCGGCAGCGCTAGAGTCGTCGGGCAAGTGGTGCGGGTCCTTGTACATAGCTTCGCACTTATCCAGCACGGGGGCCAACTTGGACTTGACATGCTCAGTAGCCGTCTCCACCAGTTGCTGCACGGACTCGTCTGCTAAGAGTGTGTCGATGTGCTTGGAAGCCAACTCGAATATGCTGTCCCCCCAGGCGCTCGTGATGAGATTCTTGATGTCGGCCTCGCCGGGGTTCATGGCGCGCAGAGTGGCCATCGCCGAGAGCAACCCCTCAGGAGCATCACCCTTATTCGAGAGCGCCGCTTTGCACAACGCAACGGCGCCCGACATGTCCTGCAAGTACGAGCGCGACCACTGGATCACGCTGAAGAACGGAGTGACGTCCAAGAAAGGCTTCCAAATTTTGACCGATGCCTCAGGCACCAGGGCCTCAAGAAACATCATGAACGGAGCTGTCGGCTCCAGCAGTGGCACGGACACATCCTTGAGGAGAGCTACAGAGGCGTTGCCGACGGTGCGCAGGATGGCTCCGGACACCTGCACAACCTTTGGTTTCACCTGAGAGGCGCGCCCGCTGCGCCGATCGTTCAAGTCGCAACGCCCGCCCCTATCCACCTATCCACCCCTGGCCTACCCAGCCCCGGAATCGTTGGCCAGGCAAGCCATGGGCCATGGGGCGGGAGCGGAGAAGCGACTGACGCGATCAGACGCCCGGGCCCCCTCCCACCTGCGTCACGAGGTCCGCCTGGGCGCTGAAGTCTTCGCTGGTAAACTTGTCGCAGATCTTCTGGTACTGGATGACCGCGTCCTTGTAGTCGATGCCCACCTGGTCCGTCAACACGTCCATGAGCCCGTCAAGCACCACGACGAGCTTCGCGTGCTTGGAACTGACGACCGCCATGCGCTCCTTCTTTGCTTCGGCCTTCTTGATCAGGGCCCTGCCAGCAGGGGGCGACGCAACTGCCTTCGAGATAGCGTCGTCAGTGCCTGAGCCATCTACAACGATCTTGGCCTTGTCCTTGTCACTGCCAGCCTCGGAACTCGCAGCGTCGAGTGCTTCCTGCAACCTCGTCGCCGTCACGTCCCGCCCATCAAGAAGGGTCGGCGCGTCCATCAGCAAGCGAACGTTCTCGACGGACTTCCGGATGAACTCGGGCAGCTCACTCGCGTACGAGACCAACTGCGGATCGCAGAACTCCATCCCGAGAGTACCTGGGGGGGGCAAGGATCAAACAATCCAAGCATCGGAGCATCGGAAATCGATATGTCCGACGTCACATCGGGCATCGGGCATTGGAGGGCTGATCCCCACTCGGGCACGGGAGTTAAATGGGTCGCATGGGCACCCAAGATTCTGGTGACTTCTGCGGGCGAGACATCGACTCGACATCGACTGCCAGGTTTAATGACCGAGGCGCGCACCCTGGGAACGTGACAGCATATCGAATATCGACAACGCAACACAATGCTTGGTATCGCAAAGGTGATCGCTTTGCTGCAACCTGCGTTGGTGATGGGCACGTGAAGTGTAGCTTGAGAGAATGGCGCACCGGGCCGACCCAATAGGATTCCTGGCGATGTGGCTTTCTCAAGGTGGGAAATCATGGCCCCGCAGTTCAGGCCCTCTTGGCTTGCGAGAGGTGCCCTCGCGATGGCAAGCCGTTGGAGCGCATGGCCTATAGCCTGCAGAGCAGCCCTGATATAAACAACATTCCAGCACAATCCTCCGGCCATGGCCCTCCGCCCTTGTCCTGAACAACCCTCCTCCCTCTTCAACCCTACGTCTTCCAAGCGCGGGGGTGATTGCGTTGTTGCCCTCCTCTCCTCCCCCCTAGTTCAAAACGGGGCTCCCGGCTAAGCATGCTTATGTTACATAATGTCCGTACCGTAAGGGCTCGTGCATCGGGCACGCGGATGGCGGGCGGTTCCAGCACCGAAAACGGGCTTTCGCTTCAGACGTCCTCACCTACCAATCGCAAAATAAATATGGCGCTTACACGGGTGGAGGGTGACTACGTTGTAAAGTGGAGCTCTCTCATGATTCATGATATTATGACTTATGAGCTCCCCTGGACATGGGGCACCTACTCCGCTCATCCTCCTACTCATTCTCATCTCCTCTCGTCGACCACCAAGCCGTATTTCTTCAACAACTCCCAGAACTGGAGACTTGCGATCCAGTACATAGACATAGATGCTCCACGGCTTCTCCTTTGAGCCGCCTTATCCGAGATGCCTTTCAAAGAGAGCACCAGCCCGCTGCTACTACTACAACTTAGACTAAAAACTAAACCGATGAGTCAATGAGGCTGGTGCAGCAGTGGCTTCGCGGCTCTGGATTCACCCCTGCCTGGACGCCCACCCCGCCGCCGAGCGCGTAGGACTTCACGCCAGATGAAAGCCTCCGTCCGGCTCCGGGGGCGGCTGCTGCACGAAGCTCCTCTCGTCGACCACCATGGTGATCACGGTGTCCGGCTCCTGCTGGCTGACCGAGCTCGTCGGCATGCGGATCGCCTCGTTCGGCATGCGGATCGCCTCCGTCGTGCTGCTGGCCGAGCTCGTCGGCATGCGGATCGCCTTGATGAGGCGCGAGCGCTCCTCCTCCCTTATCTTCATCCTCTCGTTCTCGATGATCTGCTCCACCTCCGCGTCCGTTAGCTTCCTGATCACCTCAGCCGAGAGGCTCGTCGGCCGCGGAGGAATCACCATGGCCCCTGGAGCGCCCGGCGGAGGCGGCGGCGACGGCCGCGTCGTTGCCGAGACCTCGTCCTCCGTGGCGCTGGAGGGCCCCGTCGGGTGTGCCTGGCCAGGCTGAGCTGAGCCCGTGGTCTCCAGGCGGTCGAAGTACTGCCTCGAGCGCACGCACTGCAGCAGCATCTGGTCGTTGACCTTCGCGAAGTTGTACTTGTACAGGAGTTCGCCGCAGCCCCTGCATTTGATTTGGTCGATAAAGTTGTTGGAGCCCTGGCGCGTCTGGTCCCGATGAGCACATGACCTCGCCATCCGCTGCCCCGGTCGGGCGCGCGCGCTCGCGCTGGGACCTGCTTCGTTTAACGTCCTGCGCCAACACGGGTACTGAACGCATGGGTCGTGGATAAACCGCAATGCCAACCCATCGAAATCCCACCAGCCCTCTGGGCGTAGGTGGTCTAGGGCGTTCCCTCTTCCAACCTCATTCCCCCCCTTCGGGGGGGGGTTAAGCCCCCCCCTGGACCTGGGCGGGGGGCGCGGCGAGCGGTCAGAGCGTCCAAGATGGCCCAGGATGGCTCTAAGAGCGCCTCGGAGAGCCCAAGATGAGCTCCAAGATGGCTCAAGCTAGCCTAAGATGCCGCATGATGGCTCCGAAGATGCTCCAAGACGCTCCAAGAACACTCCACCTCGCTCGAGGGCGCGCCCCCGCCCGTGACAGGTCAGTGGGTGCACGGACTTATGAGGGAGGTCTTGGGACGAGAGCGCGCATATTGCAAAGCTATGGGGCCATGGATGCATCCCGCGCGAACTTCGGCTCAGTTCATCCCCATTCGCAGCCGTTGTTGGTTCAAGACTCGGGTTAGGGGATCATTCACCAGGCGGCCGATGCCGCGCACATCCCTTGCGGTCCCAGGCGGGCCGCTGCTCAGAAGTCGGGCTGCCACAAACACGCTCCAGCCCAAATTCCTTCCACTCAGTTCTGCGCGGGACCGCCCAAGAGGCTTCCAGAGTGCTCCAGAAATCGCCCCCAAGCGAGATGCCGCGGCATCTTGCTCCCTGAGACCTCCAGGAAGCCCCCGAGAGCCCCCCGGAGAGCTCCAGGGCGCTCCCAAGAAGCCCCAACGAGGCGTCCAGGCAGTCCCAACTTACTCCCAAGAAACCCCCCAGAGCCCCCCAGATGGCCCCCAAGAGATCCCAGAAATCGCCCCCCAGCGAGATGCCGCGGCATCTTGCTCCCGGAGACCACCAGGAGGAAGCCCCCAAGAGCCCCCCCAGAGAGCTCCAGGGTGCTCCCAAGAAGCCCCAACGAAGCGTCCAGGAGCCCCAAGTGGCTCCCAAGAACCCCCCAAATGGCCCCCAGAGGGCCCCCAAGAGATCTCAAAAATCGCCTTCCAGCGAGATGCCGCGGCATCTTGCTCCCAGAGGCTTCCAGGAAGCCCCCGAGAGCCCTCCAGGAATCCCCCCAAGGTACTCCCAATGAGCCCCGACGAGGCGTCCAGGCAGCCCCAAGTTGCCCCCAGGAAGCCCCCGAGAGGCCCCCAGAGGGCTCCCAAGAGATCCCAGAAATCACCCCCCAGCGAGATGCCGCGGCATCTTGCTCCCGGAGGCCTCCAGGTCCAGGGGAGGGGGCAGGGGGAGGGGTCCGAAGGGGAAGAAGGACCTTGGGCATAGCATAGAACATGCACGGAAGACATAAGGCATAGGGCATTGGGCAGCGGCGTGGCAAGGTAAGACATAGGGGCATAGTCCATTGGCACGGCGGTTCACCCAGGGCACGAGGCAAGTTCCCCAGCGAGTCAGACCGGCAGATATCGACGACCTTGTCGGAGATGATGCCGACCCACTCTGCGTCCAGGTCCTTCTCCTCGAAGCCAATGCGAAGCATGTTGTCCTTAGAGAGCTCCCACCAGAAATCCTTAGGCTTTGCCGCCGCCAACTGCGAGCGGGACTTCTCCGAAGACATCCACCTCGGAACGAAGTCAAGGTCGACTGCAGGCTCCATGGCGGCCCAAGACTCAGCCTCCAGATAAGCCTTCAGAAATCCAGCGCCCTTGCTCTGAGTGTACCCCTTCATGAGGGTCAACAAGATCTCCAAGCTCTTCTTCGCCTTCTTGAACCTGTCCTCTTCTAGGGGGTCCTCGACCTTGTCCATCTCGCCCTTGACTCTGTCGACCAGGCGCCCGACCGCCTTGGTCTGAGTATAGCGCTCCTGTCCGAAGAACCGAGGGTGGGTCGACGAAGCACCCTTGAAATCAGCCAGCATTTTGACGACCTCCGGGAGCGCAGGTTCGGTTGGCCGCCCAGCTGACCGCTTCGGCGCCTTGCCAGAATCAGATGGCGAAGGCGTGTTGGCCTGTCCGCCGTCTGCAGGAGTCTTGACCGTCTTCTTCTTGTTCGTCGTGGGCGCAACCGCGGCGTCTTTGATGGCCGCCTTCCCCGCTTTTGCCGCTGCGGCGCTGGGCGCGCCCCCATCATTCGCTTGGGTCGGAGCAGACTGCGGCATGGAGAAGCTCAGCCCTGGGAACGAGAAGCCGGAAGTGAACGCCACCGGAAGCGAGGTCTGCTGCTGGCCCAGCGCCGGCCTGGCCGAACGCAACGGATGAAAAGGCCCGAGAATCGATCAGCCAGGCCAGCGGGCCACTGGGCCCCCATTCACTCGACTCCCATACCCCGTGCCCCATGCACTATATCCCATGATTGCCCCTGGCCCGGGCCAGCCCGCGCGCCTCATTTCCCGATGATGTGCCCGCGTTGTGTCCGCAGGCATGCATGGGCGCGAGTTGCACGGTGCACGGGGCATGGGGCATGGGGGATGCGGATGCGGGAGTCGAGTGGCCCGGTGGCCCGATGGACTGGCTACGTCGATGCGCGGCCCCCTCATCGGTTGCGCCCCCTGACAGCCTGCTCTCCCCAGCACTGCCACTGCTTCCGACGTCCGCCATGATCGAGTCCAACGTGAAGTCGACGGCCTCCCCCGTCGCCCTCTCCGGGAGGAAGATGTCGGAGAGCTGGGACATCATCGACTCGAGCTCGTTGGGCGCCAACTGGAAGTTCCCCGTGGCATGCTCTTGCTGGATCTCCGCAGTCATGACGCGGGCGCGCTTCACCTTCCACCTCGGCAACGCTCGCGGCTGCCTCCTCCTTCTCCCCTTCCCCCCTTTCCCCCCTTCTCCCCCTCCCCCCATCCCTCCTTCTCCCCTTCTCCTCCCCCTCCTCCTCCTCCTCCTCCCCCTCGTCCTCTGCTCCGCCCCCCGGGGCCCCCTGGAGCCCTGGGGCAGCTCTGGCCCGAGAGTGAAGCCCGACTCAGCGCGACGCCCCGAAGGCCCGATTGTGATTCTTGGTTCCATGGCAGACTGCGACCCCATCTGAGGGGAGATACCGATGCCGATGCCGATGCCACCTAATCCCGTTGTCTCGTTCTCTCCACTGGGCCTCCCGTGAGCATCGCCGCCAGCTGCCTGCCTCGGCCAGCGCGTCGACAGACGCAGGCGATGGCCACAGGAGGGCCAGTTGTTGATGCAACGGATGCAAGGATGCACGGACGCCGTCCACCGGCGAATCGCACCGAGTACCGAGTACCGAACACCTCGACAAGGCGCAACTGCTACGGTGGCTATATAAGAGGGACGACGACGACGACGACAACGACGACGACGACGACGACGACGACGCCGACGCCGACGCCGACGACGACGACGACGACGACGACGACGACGACGACGACGACGAGGAGAGGCGGAGAGGGGCAGCGAGCCTCGTGCACCTCCTCCTTTTCCTCCTCCTGCAAAATCGGCAGGAGCCCTTTCCGCAAAAGGCGCGAGGGCACGTCGTCGCTTCGTGGCTCCCAGCTCTGCAGCTGCTGAGCGACACTTGAACTGCGCTGGCGCAGCAGCAGCACAAGGGGAGGGGAGAGATAGGGAGGAGCTGCACGAGCAAGGGAAGGAGGAAGGTTGGAGGACACCCAGGTAGACCCTGAAGGTGCTCGCCCAGCGGGGCGCACAAGACCCTAAACCCTAAACCCTAAAGCCTGAAACCACAATGACGGCGTGGGCGATGGGCGTTTGCGTCGCCATTCGTCGCGGCCAGCGGCGATGCGCGCGAGGCTCTCACCTCTGACGCGCACGAAACTCGACGCAAGGTGAGGTCACAATGTTGACCTCACCCTGACGCTGTTCTGAATCAGGACCCGCCCTGTGCGGATCGGCGCGAGGCGGCGCGGCAAGCTGGAGCAGCGGTGAGCTCGAAGGGCTCGAGAGCAGCGCCCGACCGGCGCCCAACAAGCACAGCATCCTTAGTGATGCTCAGAGGTAGACCCTGCAGGACCCGCCCTGACGCTGTTCTGAATCAGGACCCGCCCTGTGCCGATCGGCGCGAGGCGGCGCGGCAAGCTGGGGCAGCGGTGAGCTCGAAAGGCTCAAGGGCTGCGCCCGACCGGCGCCCAACAAGCACAGCATCCTTAGTGATGCTCAGAGGTAGACCCTGAAGGCCATGAATTCGCAGGTGTGGCAGACAGTGCGTCTGTGCCCGCAGCGGGCAACGCCACTGTGGCGGTTCCACTTCCGCTGATGGGCCCGCAGGCTCGCAAGCGCCTGGGGCGCATAGGGCATAGGGCCCAGATCGCGGAGGAACTCAGACTACTCATTCCCCCTCCCCTCCTCCTCCTCCACCTCCTCCTCTCATCTCCACCTCAGGAGGAGGTCCGACGACGAGCGCGAGGGGGAGAGCTGAGTGGGCCAGGGCCAATGTCTCGCCACGTCTCTCTGACTAGGGCCTAGCCGCTAGGGCGGAACAAGAGAGCGCCAGGCACCCCCGTCCATCTCGTCCGCGTTCGCCCAGTCGTCGACCGCGCCCTCGCCCCCCTCCTCTTCTGTGTCGGGCGCGGTCTGCGCGGTGCCCACGTCCTCCGCTTCCGCGCGATCCCCGTCGCCGCCGTCCACATCTAGCGCTGCGGGCTGATCAGTATCAGGCTCAGGCGCAGGAGACGGGGGAAGCATGGTCACAGTGGTCCAGTGAATCCCCCCAGCCAAGGGCAGCGCGACCTGCGTGTAGGATATCGCGCCCTCATCGCGCCCCCGAGCCGCGTTAATGAGGTCTTGAATGCGCTCGCGCTCGCCAGGCATGTGCTCCCGACGTTCGCCAATCGGTACTTGTCGCCTGAAGATCTCTCTGTGTCTTGCAAGCTCGGGCTCTACCATCCTGACGTCTGGAGGAGGCCGTAGGTGTCGTTGCTCTACCACCGCTGTCTGGTCGCCGATGCCGATGCCTGGGGGCGGCCTGAACTCAGGCGTGGCCGCCTCGATCGTCGCGGCGGCGGCGCCCTCCCCGGGCCCCTCCTCTTCCCCCTGGGTCTGCTCGCCGAACGAATCGATCACGTCGATGACGGGCTGCTGTTGAGGCGGCTGCTGCCCCCCTTGCCCGCCCCGCCGCGCATGGTCGGTCGGCGCGGCCCCGGGCGCGGCCGCCTCGATCGAATCTGGCACGTCGATCGCGTCGATCGCGGCGGTGGCGGCCACCTGCCCGGGCCCCTCCTCTTCCTGCTGGGCCTGCTCGGTCGCCTCGCCCCCGTTGTCGTTGGCCTTGTTCGAGTCCCCCACGTCAATCAAGTCGCCCACGTTGGCCTCCTCCTGCTGATCCGCGACCTCCCTCTGATCGGCGATCTCGACCTCCCTCTCGTCGATAGGATCCCCGTTGCCCGAAGCCGCGCCCATCGATTCGATCCCGTCGACGGCGGCGGCCTCCTCCTGCCGTTGCCGCTGGCGCCGCCCCTCCTGCTCCTCGCCCTCGCGTTCGATGACGTAGTCATCCCCAAGCATGTCTTGCACCTCCTCGAGCGTCACGTCGTCGAAGTCCTCGAAGTCGCCGTACGGGTTGCCGTCGTCACCCCCGTCGCCGTCGCCCCTGCCCCTGCTTCGGCTGCGGCTTCTGCTACCTCTGAGCTGCCGCAAAAACGCTGGTAGCGGCTCCAGCCGCGGCCAGGAAGGCACTGGCCGGGGCTCGGGCTCGGGTGGACTCGCTGCCGCCGCCTGCGAACCCTGCGAAGCCGCCCTGGACGACGCCTCGTCCCTCTGCCAGCGGCTAAGAGCAACGTATGCTTGCCACTGGTTGCGTTCGGGCAGAAGGCTAGGCCCCTCGCTATCTTCGTTATCTTCCTGGAGCATGGCTCGGTCGCTGGACTCGAGCCTCTCGGACCGAAATGTACACGGACCTCATGGGGGCCGCAGTGGGGGCCTTTGGAAGCACTCGACCCCGCTTTTGATCAGAGTGAGTGGGGCCGAACGGTCTTACTCGCTGTAATGTGTAATGTGCTCCATGCGCGCGCGTGGCTGACTCTAGGGCGTCGGCTTCTGGGGGCCGCGTCAGGGGGGCACGTCTAGGGGCCACGTGGCGCTTCGCCCGCGCCTCAGCCCCCCCCCCCCCCACCCCACCCCACCCCCCACTCGCAACCGCAACGGCGAGCTTCTGTGTCACCCCTGCCGCATCATTCCGCGCTGGCTGCCAGGTGGATGGGGCCATTGGGGAATTGGATAAGGAATTATTATCCACTGAATAAATAAGGAATCTAGGGTCTGGACGCCGGCGGAGGTCCAGCCGCGGCAGACGCAACGACAACCTACAGCCCACAGGCGGAGGGCAAGGCGTACTCGGAGGAGGGTGCGGGGCTGGATAACGCGCCCTCATCCTCTTGTCCGGGATGACAGGATGAGAAGACATACAATCCCCAAGGAGTGGTATCGGGCATCGGCGGGCTCGGGGCAGGAGGGCCTGGGGCTCTGGGGGGGCGGGGGGCCTGGACCTGGGCGGCGGACGGTGGGCGGTGGAAGGGCCTGGGGCTTCGGGGGGGGGGTATTGCGGCAGGGAGTTGTCGAGCAGGGGGAGGACTATTAATGGGGGGGGAACGATGGGACAATGGACGATGGGGGGAGACAGACATGGGCCATGGGGACATGGGGACATGGGACATACATGGAGGCATAGAGGCGGGGATGGAGCATGGAGCAGGAAAGAAAGGGGAGGATGGATAACGAGCAGGGCAGCGGGGACCTGGCCTGGCCGCGCCGAGGGCCAGGGCAGACTGAGTTCGCCACACGCGGTGCCCCGGCACCAAGACGCCCCTGACCCCGCCCCAGTCCACGAGCTTATGGCCCTTGCCATTGGTTTTCCAATTGCCGTAGAGCTGCTCGTAGTCCTCCTCTGGGATGATCTCATCCTCTGGGTCCTCCAAGCGCGTCTCCTGCGCCTGCTTGGTGACCAGCTTGCGCGTGTCCTCCTCGGTGCCCCAGGTGATTTTGACGGCGAGCGTGCCAGCCTGGGTCGTGGCCAAGACGCACACCTGCCTCCAATGCTTGTGCATGCGAAGCACCATCACATCGATGCCGAACTGCTCCAGCAGCTTCTGGACGCTCTTGTACTTTGCCTTGAACCTCGCTTGGACCTCTGGCAGTAATAGCACACCTCCCAGCGGCTGCAATACTAATCACGCCTCTTCCGTGGAAGGTGCAGGCGCGGGGGCGTGCAGGCGCGCTGGGAGGCCGAGGAGCAGGCGTGCCAACGCGTCAAGAGACGATGACACGATGACAACAAGAGGGCCCGTGGAGGCAACTGCTCCTTGCAATCTGAAGACCGGGCTGCGCCAAACGCGGCGACGACGGAGGTCCCCGAAGGGCAACTACCGTTCTCCCCACTGGCCCTCCCGTGAGCATCGCAGCATCACAGCAGCATCGCCGTCATCTGCATGGCTCGGCCAGCGCGTGACAGACGACGATGACACGATGACCGCGCCACAGACCACAGGAGGGCCAATTGAGACAACGGCCCCTCGAAATGTGAAGACTGAATTTAAAGGACTGAAGACCGAGTTGCTGAAGGCCGAGCTGCGCCCAGCCGGGGCGACGACGGAGGCCCCTGGAGGTCCGAAGGTCAACTGCCGTCCAGACCCTGACCCAGACAAGGACCCTGACACAGACACCCTGACCCCAGACACCCAGACCCAGACTCCAGACCCTGACCCAGACAAGGACCCTGACCCAGAAACCCTGACCCCAGACACCCAGACCCTGTCCCAGACCAGGGCCCTGACCCTGACACCCTG